CCTGATCGACTAAAATATCCAACCAGAGGACGTAAAAAAGGAGTTTGTTCTTGAAACGCGTTCGTACAGCTGTCGAAATATTAACAAATATGGAATTAATTATCACTTTAGCGTTTTTGAGAAAATCAAATGTAACATATGTAAAGATTCATTATTTATAAATATATAAGTTTATTTATAGTGTCGTTTTATTTTTGTGTAATATTTATGAGTATAATTATAATGCAAATATAATAAAAAGTAACATTGCCACATAGCCAGATTACATTGTTGTTAAACACCAATCAGGGCCCCAGTGGTACGAGACGGGTGTGGCGATACAGGTTAGCAGATTGGAACGAAATACGCCATTTTTTTGGTTCATATCCCTGCCAGGCTTGCTTTACTTCAGCAGATTAGTCGTGGTGAAGCACAAAAACGGTCTGCGTACCAAGCTTGGGCAAATGCTCGACTATGCAAAGCTCCAAATAATCGGAAACTGAAGAAAGCCTTTAATAAAGCCGCCAAGAAGAGCAAATACACGTTACGCTGGGACAAGTTCGACCATGTACGCCGCATAGGAGCCAAGCTTGCCTCTTTTCCAGCAGGATGCCTATCACCTACTTTAGTTCGCGTCTGGATCTATTCTTACCTCAGACTAGCTGCACTATGGCGCCAGTTTGCATACGCCAAAAAGAGGTACTCAGAACACTGCGAAGTCTCGACGTGCATAAAACTAGCGGGCCAGATGGAATTCCAGCAATAGTCTTGCGTAACTGTGCGCCGAAGTTGTCTCCTATTCTCATATGCCTGTATCGCCTCTCACTTGAGACTGGTGTAGTTCCCAGGTCGTGGAAGCCTAAAGAAGGAAGCAGAGCTAACCTTGTCAACTATCTTAGTCACTTCCATACTCTGCAAGACTATCGAACGTGTACTTAACAACCGTCTCCTGTCGTACCTTGAAGACAACGATCTTCTCAGTTATCGCCAGTACGGATTCCGAAGAGAGCGATCCCCAGTTGATCTTCTCGTGTATGCCTCTCACTTATGGAGCGAGGCTAAAGAAAGGCATGGCGAAGCCATTGCAGTGAGTTTAGACATTTCTAAAGCCTTCGACAGGGTCTGGTAGGCAAGCCTTTTAAGCAAGTTGCCTTCGTATGAGCTTCCTACTACTGGCGTCTTTGCAATTGAACTTCGGATTTCTAGAGTGAACGTTCGACTCAAGTGGTCTTAGAAGGCTACACTTCCAAACTGTAATGTTCGCAACCCTCTTCAAGCAGCATATAAATGATATGTTGATTCCAGGTGCCTTTGGTTGCTTATGACAGCACAATTGTGGACAGGTACTTGACCAATGTAAGGGTCAGTGTAGAAGAAACCCAGTCTTGTCGAGAGTCCATGGTTAGTCGTTTGAATTTGACACTTAAGGCAGTCTGCGATTGGGGCGATGCCAATCTTGTCAATTTTAATGCTACCAAAACGCTTGTCTTTTCTCCACTAAAAGGAGGCCCTTTCACCTGACTCCTACTTTTCGTGATATATCCAAATCGATAGCCGATCATCTTCACCTACTTGGAATGGACCTGTCGTCCAATCTGAACTTCGGCAGATACATTGAATCCATGGCCAAAAATGCAGCCAGTAAGCTTGGCGTCCTTTCCAAAGTGAGGCGTTACTTCACATCGGGACAGTTGCTTCTGCTGTAGCAAGCATAAGTTCGGTCGTACACGTGGAGTACTGCTGCCACTTACGGTATGGCTCTGCTAAATACCAACTGGCCACCTTGGGTTCAACAGACTGCTCGTGCTTGGAATTAGTAGAGGCGAAGCTATAGAGCCTTGGACACCGCCGTAGAGTTCCCAGCTTATCTATCGGTATTCTACAGGAGATATCACGGAGAGTGTGCGATGGAATTGCATAATTGGATTCCGCCTTCCCCTTTCCATCATCGAGGACTAGACGTGGGATCGGGTTCCGCCCCTATGTTGTGGATATTCCCAGGATTCGCACGAAGCGATTCGCTTCCACATTTATATGACAAGCGGCTAGGGAGTGGAATTCCCTGCCAACAGACTTGTTCCACGAACGCTATAACTAGGACCTTTTCAAGGCGAGAGTGAATAGGCATTGTTTAGATGTGCATGCTACATCCACGACCTCATCGTCACTTTCCATCAGGTGAGATGGAGGTCGAATGCGCACTTATTATATAAAAAGAAAAAACCTTATCTTGGTCGCCCGCCCTGACACAGAGCGATGATCTTCGGGAATTTAATTATATCACATGCTAAATGTCGTTATTAGAACTTATATTTATTGATACTGATGAATAAACTCTGCAGCCCCCTAATTTTTATTCATGTTATTCATAGATTAATGTTAATAATCATCTTGTTTTACGACGACACACCTATCTACCAGTAGAGTTGCTTGTGAAAAAGTGTGTCCAGTGAAGTACTGCTAAGTATCATACCGATTTCTGCCGCCAAGCAATAATGCGAGCATTACTGCGTTCCGGTTTTAAAGGGTAAGGTGCTGATGAAACTAAAGGCACACGTGACTTTGTCTCAGGGTGCTGGGCGCAGTAGTAGCGGTGCCCCTCAGATCATTGCCATTAAAGCTCTGAGTAGCACTCCAACTGTTATGGATCGGCGTGTTGCTTACCACCAGGTGCACGACTTGCTCGTCCCATCATTGGCTATAATAAAAAAATCTTACTTTTGCTTATTTTTCATCGCTCTAAAAACATGCACGCTTCTTGACGCTTCCTATCGAATATGCCAGCGGACTCTCCTACAAGCTGTCAATTGTATTATTAAATACTGAACATTCGAGTGTAGTATCCTGAAATATTATTTATTACGATGTTGTACTCGGATACTTAAATAATAAAAAATGCCACCGAAATTAGGTAGAGGAAACCACAGACATATATCTTGATAGACGCCGCAAGTACAGCAATTTGTATGAAAACCAAGCGTGCCACATTTTTTGTACCCACTGTGACGTTACAATAATATTTAGTGATGGAAACCTTCCGCTCACTCTAAATCGATTGATTGAACGGAATACGCGTAAACACGCGTATACCATTCAATTAATCGATTCTAAATAGAATAATTTTTGTTCAAATATTTCTTGATTACAAGTAGTCTTAATATTAATATAGTAGAAAAATACTAGAATAAGATAGTTAAGTTCTTAATTTTACTTGCTTTTAAAAAATGTTGATTACTTAAAAAAAATTAAGACTTTACTTTTTAATCGACTTCAAATATTAAAATTATTATCCTTCCAGTAAAATGAGCTTATTATATAACATCCTTTTGTAAAAGACGATCTTATCGATTAACTTAAATTATGAATATGCACGTCAATATATGAACTTGCGACTGCCTTAATTTTACTAGATGGTTTTCTGTTGGTAATTGATCAAATTGATGAATGCCAAGACAAATGAAAATGTTACTGCTCACAAAATATGGTAAAGTCTTATTAATCAGAAGAGGTTTACTTAATGACGACCTCGTGTGAAATTTTTGTGATTTGTTTATTATTTCTCGGATTTCTAACTCTGCTACTCGACATATGTGGATAGCATCTTAGGTGGAATAAACTAGACCACCTTCGTCCTCGAAAGCAACGAACTCATACGTATGACTAACTCCAGGTTTTTATAAAGAGAGCGCACTGTTAATTCTTTGCATTATATATTTTTTGTATTACTCGTACTACATTTCCGATGATGTATGTAATTATTTGCTCACTATATTCGAACATTCGAGGAAAGTGCTGCAAAAATTATCGAAATCACAGATACTACTGATAATAGATACTACGAAACTGAAAAAAAACGAAACGTTTCTAAACGTTGTAACGAAAGAGTTATATAATATTGCTAAGGTCATAATAATTTTCGTCCCTTTGTTTTCAAAATCGATCAGAATCGAGAACAGTGTTGTCTAACGTATACATCACTAAATGCTAAATTTGGCCAAAGAAATGTACAAGCGGCCGTACCACGAATGTGAGTTTTCTCTACCTAATTTTGGTCGCAATTTTTATTATTTAAATCTCCAAGTATATTATCGTGAAATGTTAAATAATGTTTTAGGTTACTACACTTGAATATTAAATAATACTTCATGAGAAGGAGAAAACTAATCTGAAAACTACCCATTTGTATTTTAAGAATCGTAGTACAAATGTGAAAGATCTAAAAAATGCATGACTTTTTTATGATGTGATATATGTGATATTTATAATGTGATAGATATATGATAATGTGATAGATATATGATAATGTGATTAAGATAAAATAATTTATCAAAACTTTATTTTTTTAAAACATCTTATTTAATAAAACAAGCTCATAAAAAACGTTTCTTGTATTAAATTGTTTTCGTCTTAATGGAAATATTTCGGGGATACACAGCCTTTTTGTTTATGTGGTTTTTTATGCCATAGTTGAAGTAAAAGAACTTTTTATTACTAAAGATAGATAGATATGTAAACAAATTCATACAGGATGCTTATTCTATTTTACATCACCTCAAACTGATATTTAAGGAACTTAAATCTTTATACAATGATGACTTAGGATTTATTACGGTGCGTTTTTAATTTTTATTAAGTATGCACCTACCTAGACAATTCTGTGTTTTTAGTAACAAATTATTCGAACTATCGCACTTAGGCACATAGGCACTGGATATTTATAGTTGCATGATGTAAACGAGAGCAGAAATCTTTTATTAAAATATTATAGCCGTATGTCAGTTTCTGCCTCACATTTTTTCCTAAGTCGTGAAATTGTACCCACCAAATTCAAAACGTCAAAGTGACAATTATTTGATACTCAGTTTAATGTCATTAACGTTTGACAGGATCGAAATTAAGTACATTTAAAGTTATTTCGATAATCTTTTGGTTTTAAGCGACTTGTGATACACAAATTGACAAAAGTCCGAGCTTGATTTTGCAAAATGGATGCGTTTTATACACTTTATGCCTAATTTCAGATGCGCTTGATTGGGCGAAGACAGGTATACCAGTGATCGGAGGAGCTATAGTCGTCTTGCTCCTGATGTCAAAACTAAGGGGCGACCAGTCGGGCAAGTCGGGCGATCAGTCGGGCAAGTCGGGCAAGTCGGGCAAGTCGGGCTCTGGTGCAAGCTCTCAAAGCACAAGCTCTCAAAGCGCTTCCTCAAAATCCCCGCAAAAAGGATACAGAAAGTGTGAGTGTCATAGCAAAAACACGACTTCATAAACGTCATATGGAAATAATATGAAAATAAATTGTAGCCTGGCACTGTAACACGTACATACTTAAATACTTTGTAACTTGACCGGAAGGCAACCGATTCCTTTTTTAATAAATATATTAATTAAAAATGTTGTTTGGTTTAAAAAGATGACCTTTAAAGTTTGCTTTTTGGCTTTTTTATCGGAATTACATCCATGTGCCTAGTTTCATTGAAATCGGTTAAAGGAAAGAGCGCGAAGGCGGATCCCCTAGTTTGCAACCCTCTAAGGGTTGCAAACTAGGGGATAAAATATTTTCTTCAAATTGAACGGGACCAATACTGAGGTGCCCACTGTTCGACAAATAAAATAAAGTATGAAAATCGGTTCACAAATGCTGAATTAAAACTTACACAAAAAAAACCGTAGTCTCCTACCTAAACGAAGAAGCTGCTCTGTTTTTAAAGTCGGTTAAAAAACACTACTTTTTTAAGTGTTGCCACTTTTATTCCCAACACGGTATTCAAACTCAAATCTCAAATTCAAATACATTTTTATTTCATAGGTAAGCAAATTACACTTCGGTAAATGGGCACATTGATTTAGCTCTACTTACTATTCATTCGAGAGGCAGATTCCCATGAGAAGAATTAATAAGAAACTCTAGCGTCGCTCTTTGCAAATAAACATTCTTTGTGCATGTTTATCATTTACTCAATTTATTTCAAATATCATAAGATCAAAAGAGCTAAATGAGTCGCTGCCATGGATTCTTGTCATCCAAGTACTTACGCAGAAACTGTACTTTAAAGTTTTTGTTTCATCACAGTTTTAAAGCTGAATCAATCAGGTTGAAAAAAATCATAGTAAAATTAAGGATATACACTGATTAGTATATGGTGTGAAAACACGATTCCTAATTTTCACCATAAAAAAAAACAACACAAACTTACCCCGAAATTTTACAAGAAAACCTCTGTATTCTGTAGGTATTTTGCATATACCAATGATTTTTTTATATCAACTGAACTAATAGAATACGTATAGCATACGATATACATTTTTCAAAGTTTTCGTTTGTAAAATAATATGTTCCGAAATAAAGTTTCAAGGCTAAGTTTCAATTAAAGTTTCAAAGTTCAAAGGCTCTAGACGAACTTGTGAAGACGACAGATCGCCAAGAACAACCAGTTAATTATTTTCTTCGTACTCGTGCAATATTATTTAACAATTATACGATATTACACTTCAATATTCAAATTATAAAAACTGCCACGGAAATTAGATAGTGAACTCTAGTACAGCATGTTTAAGTCTACAATTTTATTAAATTAAATCGCCTCTATGTTAAAATAAGTAAGTAAACAAATAAATAAGTTCTGACCACTAACGCCAAATGCATAACGTTTTTTTCGGTATTCTTACATGGTCATAAAGTTTTTTTTTGACACCCTTAGGGTCGTATTCCAGAACTCTACTCAATGCTCAAGTCAGGACTTGAGTATGATTTAAAGCTCTAAAAATTAATAATTAATGTGATTCTGTGTCGCTAAGTGTGAGGAACCGAATGAGGTAATTGTAATTGAGCTAAGTGTTACTTATTTCGTGCACTTTATAATTTTAAAACGCCAAATAACTTTTAGAAAAAAATAAAACAAAATAATTAAAAATATCACACTTTTTTATAATATCAAGTGCCTGGACGATTAAGTCGTGCGCCTGATGGTAAGCTACACGCCTGTCCATAACAGTTGCAGTGCCACTCAGAACTTAACACCGCAACAATCTGAGGGGCACTGTCACTGCGCTCGTCACCCTGAGACATAAGTTGACAAGACCCATGTGCCTGTAATTTCACCAGTGCCCTTACCCCGAAATCGGAACATAGTAATGCTGACATTACTGCTTGGCGGCAGAAATAGGTAAGGTGGCAGTACTTCCCTGGGGGCCTACTATGAGTTTATAAGCAACCAGCCAAGTTCCATGCAATTCACGGTGACATGGTGAAACTGAATTGCTTTAATTCGTATCATGACCTACGCAAAGTTGAACGGGAATGGCAGGAGGGGATGTTGACTTTTACTTTTTAAATGTTAATTATTGACTAGGCTATTTAACAAGAGTAAGATGGAACTACAGACTAAATCTTCTAAAAGAAATAGACAGATATACTATCCTGGGAGTGTTCAAGCACTATTAACCGATTGTGTTCAAAGTGAGAGTAATTATATTCTTTTATTAATTTTATTATTAATTATACATATTACGTTGTTTTGTAATATTGACAACTTTTCAATCATACTGTACTGTCGTACGACAAGATTACATGTCATGTCTAGTCATTATCATTGAAATTAATAAGGTGAGTTTGTAATTTGATAACATAATTGGAACGTATCTTGTATTTATACATTTTCATTGATTGCATTCACAGACATATATCTAGATATGTCTGTGTTTGCATTAGAGTCAAATTTGGCACTATTTAAAAGTTAATTTACGATTTTCGCTCAGGCAATAAAATTTTTAAATTTAAATTACTATGTACATCTTATCCTTTTTCCTTTCTACGTATCATTATCGTGCTGTTTTCGAAAACGCTCAATAGTTAATAGTATTTATTTATTGACAATTGGCTATACAGCCTAAAAAGATAACAAATAATTATGAAACTAAAAATGTTATAAAATTTAAACGAAATTTCATAAAAATGTAACAAAGTCTTAAAAAAGTTAGTCACGGAGTAACTTTTTTGAATTGCTTATTTTTACAGGGCAAATGGCACGTCATGATACGATTTTGCTATGAAAGAAACGTGAAAGGTGAACGGATTTGGAATGGGAACATAAACTGCATGGAAAGTGAATTGTTTTTGTGAGGTCATAGTGCGAATTTCTCAGGCAATCCAAGTTACAGGCTTAAATAGGATTGCTCTAAGAGCTCATAGTAGGCCCCGGACGAGCTCTTTCACAAGGAGCTCTACTGCTAATCAAAATAAGTCAAATGAATTAAAAAAACGATAAAATAAACTCAGTTGCTTTAATGAAGCTCTACCTGCATGGCAAATTCGAGCCAGAGGTTGTACCGACGTAGCAGCCAGGCGAGAAAACATCTTTCGAATTAAACCATTCCCACTCCGTCCAAGCCTTTCCATAAACGAAGTTACTCGACGTCTCACGATGGCACAGAGCGTGTCAATACGAGCTTGCATAAACATTCCAGAAGCGCTACAGGGTCGCTCCAGGAGTGTAAATGTCTGAATGTGTTGATGTATTGAACACGTAAAGCGTCGTCGTGAGATGCCTTTGTACAGTTATCCAAAGCTGACAATTTCTTTTTTATAGCTTCTAGTGACGACGAGAAGAAGAAGAAGCCGTGCCCTTGATGGTAAGCTACACGCCTATCCTTAACTATTGCAGTGCCACTCAGAGCTTTAAATCGCAAAGATCTGAAGGACACTACTAGTCCCAAGCATACAAGCTACTTTATATTATCTCTGTACAACCTAAAAGTTGTATACTAGCTGTTTAAGGGATGTACTATAGTACTTAAGTTCTTCAGTAGCGTATTAATGTAATTAAACAGGCGCAAGTCGTACAATAGCCGTACAACGGTAAAATTAATCCTGACAGGGATAGAAAGACTAGTCATAGAGGTATTGTATGGGCATTTGATGTACAGCAGAGTTATAAATATCTTTTATAACACCGTGAGGTCTTGTAGAGGGTTTTTGAAGTTAGAAGTGTTAGAATGGATTTATTAGCTTTCTTTAAAACCTTTAGGCGGTATATCGTATATTTCTAAAGCTTTTATAACACCTTGAGGTCTTGTAGAGTGCTTTTGAAGTTAGAAGTATTTGAATGCAGTTATTAGCTTCTTTCAAAACACTAGGTGGTATATCGTATATTTCTAAAGCTTTTATAACACCTTGAGGTCTCGTAGAGGGCTTTTGAAGTTAGAAGTGTGTGAATGGATTTATTAGCTTCCTTTAAAACGCTTTAGGTGGTATATAGTATATTTCAAAATCTTTTATAACATCTCGAGATCTTGTAGAGGGCTTTTGAAGTTAGAAGTATTTGAATGCAGTTATTAGCTTCTTTCAAAACGCTAGGTGGTATATCGTATATTTCTAAAGCTTTTATAACATCTTGAGGTCTTGTAGAGGGTTTTTGAAGTTAGAAGTGTTTGAATGCAGTTATTAGCTTCGTTTAACACTCTTTAGGTGGTATATAGTATGTTTCTAACGCCTGGAGCTGTTTAATAAGATTATTTTACTACAGTCTTTGGACGCTATATCTATAGCAGAGAAATATTTCTAAAGTAGTGCTTAGGCCGTTATATTTGAGAATTCTACAGCAATTTTACTACTAAAAACTTACAATAGCTCGTGAATATCACAGTTGTGAAACCGAAAGGTCTACAACGGTGAATACTAACGGCTAAATCGGTAGAATGGTGTTAGTAAACTCTAAAAGCTGTTGTAACAGAGACGCCTTTACAGTTTTTAATAAAACCAATTTTAGGTTATTTATATATTTTTAAATATGTGTAAAAACCGAATCCATTTCACTCTTTTTCACCCACGACCCTAAAGAAACTTCCAACAAAGCTAAAATATCTTATTTAAACTAAATTCAAACTTCACACACTCTAATTAAATGTACTTTTTACACAAAAAACTGCATATGTAGAAGGCGCGCGTAAAAATTTGAGCTGAAATCTATGTACATATTGACAATAAACTGGTACTTGCACTTTTATTTTGCATGTATTAAAAGGAAAACTTATTTTATCAAACTGTTGTCATTTTTTATTTGCAATCATATCCTCCATCACTTTCCAGTTAGCAAGGCCACTGTCTTTACAAGCAATAAAATGTGTTTTGTTTATTTCCCCAAAATATCGCCACAAGAACTTATTTTAGATACTTAGGCGCACATTACCACTCGCATAGCCCTTTATATTACTTACACGCACATTTACCGCGCGCATTAACCGCGCGCAACTTCTTTCTCTCTCTCCTTTGTATCTTCGTACTAACACACATTTACGACCATTGCAGGATCCATAGTGTATAAATCGGTGCCCATTTTGAGGGTACAGCGGCACTGTAGCCGCTTATACGTCTACTTTAGAACTTATTAATGCAGCCTATGCCGTTATTAAGAACTTCTAACTGGCTATTGTACTGCTTGTTATTAGAGCTTGTAAGTAAGTATATTATAAATTGCGATCTTCATAGATATTGCTAACTTTATCGGTTCCTGAGGTACCAGAGATAGAGACTAAATATCATTTAATTTGTTTGAAAACTATTCTGCCAAATCATTACGGTGACAACTGCGCTCCGATTGGTCAGTCCGAATTCGAAACAATTGACGGGTATCGTCAAATGTTTCGCTTCAAAACGACCATTTTAACTTGAACTTTGCTTAATGGACGAAAATTGAAAAATTACATATTTAATTACCGATGAAATGTGATTCCGTTTGTTTTGTAATTAGATGTTTTGCTGTTTTTCCCACGCCACCGAATGGATAAGCCCTCCATTGTTAGAGATCACAGACCAAATAAATATTAGTAATAGACGCGTTACCTAGCTTATGAGTAGACGCGCGTCAGTTGTCGTACAAATGTACAAGAAGATTGTTTTATGCAAAAAAATTGAAATATGCCATTATATCAAGTTCCGTAAGAAGGCAAAGTTTAAAATATAATCCGCGAGTGATTTAATTTCTTGGGTAAGTACTGAAACTCTGTATTTCCAAATATTTTGAACAATTCGATATAAATATTTCGAAACAAAAATATATTGTGGCAACCAGGCAATACAATGTACATTGGTTGTTAGCCATCTCCACCGTCAAAAGAACAATTCAAATGACGCGCAATGAATTGCTTGCACTAGCGACGCACTGTGGTACTGGGTCCGCGTGTTGTAATCAAATTATCGATAAGTAGAAACTCCGTATTTAAAAACTCGGTTTTGGTTTAGTTAAACATTTTTTTACTGTAGCGGTACCAATGTGAAACATATAATGTTTACAGGTATTTAACAGCTAAGAATATTCAATGATGAAATGTTTTGCTCCCGACGACGCTCTCAATAGCGCGAGTATTGTTAACTATAGTTAGTAAATATTAATTTGAGTTTAATTTTTATATATGGTTATGAAGTAAAAATATTATAAAATAAAAAAAATTATACTTATATAATATAAAAAAAATATTAATAGAAAAAAAGGCAATATATATATAGGAGAGGCATAGTATCGATAATTTTACCAAGCGTGTGAGCTCGTGGAATATCAAATGAAGACTTTATGAGAATGGAGATTTTCTTTGATTTTAATTCTTATTATGCGTCTCTTTCATCCGCTTGAATTCTTAGATTTACTATCTTAGGCATGATTCACATTTGCAATTTTTGTATTGATTTTTTTACTTTCAGAAGCAACGGCCAGAAGAAGCTGGGTACCTACTGAATATAGCACCATTTACTCCAGGAATTTTATGATATCAGATTATATACCTATGAATAACATAAAAAAATTCTAAAAGCTTGGGCAATTCCCACGCAAGAAATAAATCATTTGGTTAATCAGGTAATATATGAATGAAACTTAGAGCCGCCTTCGCAATTTATAGACCACATCTAATTGTAAAAACATTTCGGAAGCATTGTCAGTTATTTTTCGTCAAGTTTTCTTAAATCAAATAATTCGCTTCACCGGAAATAAGTATCTTCATTTTCTTGACAAGCTTGTCGACGCTGTAGGTGTTGTCATGGTCAGTCAGTTCAGGAAAAGGTATAATTGTTGAACAAATATATCATATTTCAGGGAGAATAAAGGTTTTTATGATGACAGTGTTTTAATATTTCAACCCTTCCAGTGATCGGATAGATTTGAAGACTAGTGTGTTAATTAAAGTACGATGACAGTACAATAAATAATTAATACTGTGATTGTAGCGTGTAGATGCGTATACACACACGTCTGCGTAGCTAATATCAATTAATATTCGTGTGTAGCAAAATCGTATTTAAGCGTATTTGGTAACAAATGTGTGCGTGTAAAAGTCAGTTACGCTAGTTCTCGAAGAAATTGCTTTAGATGCGTTTCCTCCCTTTCGGGACGGTCTAATACGATTGTGCTGGTCGCGAAATCGAATTTATCTCATCAATTTTATGTCAGTATTGGACGGGCCCCGTGCCACACGATTATGCAAAAGTCAGGCCTTAAATTTCTGCGTAAATATCGCGCCTACGTCAGTCAGCCACCCGTTTCGGACACGTTCAGTTTGGTGGAAAATTGTGACTCCGGATTTGGCGATTGTAAGTATCATTTTCTACATATTTTTATGAGTATAGCTAATTATTATTTGTTGATTCATTAGATATATAAACAATAAGTGTTTTGAATACAACTTTTCCCCGCACAATTGTATCAATCTGGGCCGTACGTTACTTTTCGCGTCTAATAAAACTAAATCCATCTGTATATTTTTCATAATTTTTCAACAATGGTAGACATTTTAAGCGTTGCTGCTATCGCAGAAATAGTATGTGTTTCAGGAGACAATAGTGATGATGAAGAAGAGGATGTGCACCTGCATCCTAATGAAGTCATGGACGATGCTATCTTCTCTTCTTCAGACAGCGAAGATAACAACATTCCTTTGAGCGAACCGAAATGGAAGCAGCAGGCCTATAATAGCAAACTCGTACTACAAGAGGCGTTCGTCCTTCAGGAGATGTTCTAACGCATGCTTGATATTTTATCAATTGATGATTTATTTTGTCGATGTCGATTTATTTTGCAGAGAAGAAATGTTTGAGTTTTTTTCAATAAATTGTTTTATTTTTATAAATAAAATGATTATTTTGAATAGACTACCTTGAATATAAACTAGGAAAATGAATGGTTAGGCCCACACTAAATTGTTTATGGGTAACGACTGCCCCAACCCGATACAATCGTGAGACTCACAATTGTGCTTAGGAAATGAAGGGCCCAGAGTAATACAATTGTTGCTATCTAGTTTTTCCAAAATGGCGTCGGAAAATTGGCAAAGCGACGCCAGATTTAAAATCTGCGACCCCGAATTACCTACAAGTACTTATTCAAATATAAAAATTTCGTTGCAGTTTTGGAGCCGCTCCGAAAGGGTTATACCCCGTGGTTAACCCTAATTATAGCAAGTGTAAAACAATGTCTAGTTCAATAATCCGCCAGTTATAAAACATAATATCGATATCAATTGAATGTGGTAACATTCAAACTAACAAGCTAACAAAATCTGTAGATTGTCAACTTTTTACTGTTGTTCCAAGAAGTTGATATTCATAGGATTCTTAGCTATAGATGACTAGTCTAGTAATAATAAAACCTGTATACAAATAAATTTCATTTTTTTACCAAAACTTTTCGACTATTGTCTAATTTCGTTTGATAATTTATAATAATCAATCAAAATTATGTAATCCTAATAATAGTGTATTTCAAATTACCTTTTAAATTTACCTTTTCAAATGTGTGCGTGTGGCAACACTGGTTTAATACTAATGTCGCATGACGCCATTTCCACGTTTTTTACTTCCATGTTAGAGATATTATCTTTAACTCAATAAATACAGAATATTTCTGGAATATAGGGATACATACACATAGGTCAGTGGTTGGCGCTGTACTATTTCAGCTTTCTAATTTGTGATTTCAGCGCAAACGAGATTTGATATTTAAATTAAAGTCCGTTTGCCTGATGAGTTGCCAGGGTTAGATGGCCCCTATTTCGGCTCTATTTCTGAATACATACTCGATGGGGAGGAGTGACAATATAAATAACAACTATGTCGTGCTGCACACGGGATAATTTCAACGATATTTTTCTGACGATATTCAATAGCAAGTTGATTGAAAAAAGTGATTCCCAAATTAGCAAATTGTTGTTATGTACATTATGCGTTATAAATATTTAATTTAATATAAAATATTTACTTCTCTCGCGACTACTTTGCAGTTAAGTTCGCAAATAATTTACTACGTATCGCACTGCTCGCAATTTACAATAGAGTTCTAACTCAAAATATGTGAAATACAAGATTATACCAATGTTGAACGTAAAATTGATTCTCTACACGTCAACAAAACCGGCGTTAGAATATCTACTTAACTCAAAATGAGATAAACTTTATGTGAGCTAGTTCTGGAAAAAACCTTACTCAAAAACTGTGAATGAAATTGAAATTTAACTGGCTCCGTGGCCTAACGGTTACCATGCCGGACTGCCACGCAGAGGTCCCAGGTTCGATTCCCAGGTCGGGAGAAATAGTTGTATGACCTACAATTATTTCTCTCGTGAGTTTGGATGTAATTTGTGGTTGTCTATGTGTGTGTCCATGGCACCCGCGACACAAGGTTTCCCTAGTGCGGGGCTATGTTGAGTGTGCGTTATTTATTAAAAAAAAAAATTATATCTTCCCTCTTATTTCTAAATATATTTTAGGGAAGTCGGAAATTGTTTAGATATCTATAGTAAACTTTAACCTATCCATAAATTTTAATGATCTTTCCGGGAAGTAATTCATTTTTCATCGTTTCTGAAATAAATACACTTTTTGAGTTAAATTAACAGTGCGATACTGCGTATAAAGAAACGAATATTTACAGCTCAAGTGACTAATTCGCCTGGATTTGTTGAATCGGCTAGTATTTAAAGTGGACCGTCCAGACAGTGTAAAAGTGATGAAGCACACACTGTGTCGTAATCTGGCATAATCTTTAAAATAACATTTATATTTTACATTCGACCATAACCGAGCGTTGATAATATAACTAGAGATTGGAAAAACTGCTTATTTTTTTGAACGTTTAAACGTTTTGCTTTTTTAAACGATTTTTTTAAACAAAATCGTTTAGAAAACGTTTAGGCGCATACTTTTATGTAAAAAAGCTGTGTTGTGTTGATAGCGACAGGCAAGAGTAGACCACTAAAGGTATTAAGACAAGTGATTTTTTTTGGTAAAAAACGAGTTATATTTTTCTTATGACATAGCATTATTATATTAACATTTTGTTCATTGGCGTTTAAAATCATTCAAAAACATAAATAAATAACTTTTGTAGTTGTTAACCGTTGAAATGGAAAAAACTGCTTATTTTTTTAACGTTAAAACCTTAGAATAATAACGCATAGAATGATAGTTTCATATCAAACCAACTGTCACAAGTAAGGCAAAAAAATTCATGTAGGTTAGTTTTAGTAGTAGGTTAATTTTCGGTTATAATGAATATTTATATAAAAATACAAGTTGAAACGCGTTACTTCCTTGTGGAATGTGATGTTAGTATCTGTTTTATGTTTGTCTGACGTATTTTTACACTCATTTACCGCACATTTCGTCATTTTTAGCTAAAATTCTTGAGTTGTTCGCGGTGCAAGTTAACCTTGAGCACTGAAGGCCCGCCCGCTCGTGTAGGCCCTTTGGGAGCGCTTCAATTTGCCTTGCAACGTTATGTTGAACTAATTTGTTTAGGAAACATAGATGGCGCTACTTGAAACTTAGGCATGTATGAAATGAAATTGTTGAGTACGTATAGAACTGACCAGTGACCAACGGTTACGCTTAAAATGAAAAGCGTGCTTATGCGCTTATTTTAAAAAACAGACTTTTAAGTGCTTTTCATTTAAACGCCCACCTCTAAATGTAACCGATTCGAGACGGGTAGTGCGTTATCTTCACGCTGTTTTTGGCACAGAAATTATTTATTTATTGCTACTATTTCTGCAACTTTTTGGACACAACCAACGTGCCACTTAAACGTATTCCACCTGTAACGCCCTGGGCAGAAGGAAGATAATACGAATAAATCAACGGCCCAATCCCAATACGGATCTACCCCGAACCTAACTTCTTTGGATAATGAGAGTATTACAACCCGGTTCAAGCGAAAACGTGAGGAATGCAGTGCGTCTTGTATGGAAGAGATTCGGTCTTTATTACGCGCGTCCACAGAGCAATCTGACAGTAAGCTCGCGTCCATTCAATCGGCAATGTGTGTGTGAATTACTACCCAGAATACCGAAATATTACAGTCTATTACCTTTATGTCTTAGCAATATGATGACATGGTAATTAAATTATATTACATTTAATCAGTCAACCGTGACCATGGGACCTGTAAAGGGCCCGAAAAGTCGGTTTGTTTGAAAAAACAAATATACGCGATTTAAATCCGGAAAAATAGTTTCATTTCCTATGTGTAACAATCGCGAAAACCTAAGAACTCGATATGGTAATTAAAATTAAAAATCTGGAATCCGATCGTTAACTAGATCACTGTCATATAAAACAACTTGAAGAGAAAGTAGAATTCCTTGATCGTATGCTGTACTTTACTCTACTAGAGTATGACTAGAGTTGAGAAAAAGAATATACCGAAAAAACTGGGGTAGTCTAAAGATCTCTATAAAATTGTCACAGATACTGCGAACGTGCTGGAGTTACCAGCGCCATGAAGTGAAGGAAATTTTTCGTATTGGAAAAAAAGATGTAATTTCTTCGGTTCTGATTTTGTTAGCATTACCACAAAGGAAAACATCATCAAAAAGGCACGAAAATTCAACAATAATAACAAACTAAACACGACACATCTTAAAATGGAAGGTCCAGGAAAACCTATATACATAACGGGAAAACTGACACCCAAAAATCAACGTTTGTATTATCTTGCACGAAATTATAAGTACTGTTGGGTTTCGTATGGGAAGGTGTTCCTGCGACAAGACGATGGAAAAGAAGCTAATATTGGTTAATAACGAAGAAGACATCACCAATCTGCGCCAAGAAAAATTACTAGTTACAGATCCGTGCACCTAGTTTCATTTATATTTTTTGTATAAATTCCTGTGTCCTCTTAACTATGTATTATGTAACTACACACCACACTCATACATAACTACCTCACTCAACTATACAATTTATTAATACTACATACACACACTATACAGCAATAATGACACGCATATATTTATTTTATTACATATTTGCTAAAAATATTGTTACTGCATTCCATTACTACACTATTTTTTATTGCTTTGCAATAATTGTGCACCCTCGTCGCTATTTATTTTTAAAATGGCTAATCAAGATCGAAAAATTTGGTAACTGACTTATTCAATTCAGCTGATGACGCAAATCGACAAATAGAGCTTGGTAATGAGTATTTTTCTAAAACAGGTAAGCAGTTAACGGATGCCGTATCTGCATCCACAAATGCAAATTCGAATATGTTTAAGTTCGACATTATATCTTCTCCTAATTCTTTGGTTTTTCTTCCGCCAGGTGAAGCGGAAGTTGAATTATTGATAAATAATCTTAAAAACAATTGTGCCATCTGTAATTTGTCACATCACAATTTGTCATGAATTGTGATGTGACAAATTACAGACCAATATCGGTCCTTACATCTTAATCTAAAGTTTTCGAAAAACTTCTAAACAAAAGACTTGTAAGTTTTTTGGAACATAACATTTTATCTAGTAGCCAATTTGGTTTCAGGACAGGAAAAAGCACCGAAAATGCTGTCAGTCAGCTGATAGACTATGTTACTGATGAAATTGATGCCAAACGATAGTGTTTTGGTGTATTTCTTGACCTAGCCAAGGCATTTGATACCATTTCGATTCCCATGCTTGTGAACAAGCTATATCATATTGGTATAGGGGTGGTGCTCTTATGATCTTTAGGGATTTCCTATGTGGGCGAACGCAACGCGTAAAAATTGGTGAACATCTTAGTACTGATGCTTCTGTTCTTTCTGGAGTTCCGCAAGGTAGCGTGCTTGGACCAAGTCTATTTATAATCTATATAAAGTCTCTAATAAATGGCAAAATATTTACATATAAGAAAAGAAATTCAATAAATTAAGGCATGTTGGTGAACTAAACCTGCTGCGCACATATTATTTTGCACTGGCACAATTGGTGCTAAGTTATTGTATTGGAACTTGAGGTGGTGTTTGTAATACTCAAATGAAACGATTAGAAATAGCACAAAGATCTTTATTATTTAAAAGTAATGATATTTACTCCCTATCGATGTCCCACTAAAACTCTGTATGAAACGTTGAAATTGCTCTCTATAAGAATTGTATTTTGTATTTTGCAAGTCGTTGTAAAACAGCACAAAAATATCCCTTACAATCATGAAAATTATAAAAAGAAACGCACAGGAATGTTTGTCCACCGATAAAATGTCGAACAACTACTGCTAGACAACAATGTAAATATATGTCCACGTGTTTATTTAATAAAATAAATCCAATTCTTAATATTTACCCATTATCCACATTTGAGACGAAATATAAACTAACACATTTTCTTCTGGCTCTTGATTATGATCCAATTGAATTGCTTCTTCGGTAAATAGAAATAAGTACTTATAATTCGTAATAATATAGCTCCTCTCAAACATCAGCGTATCAAACAGCACACACACGCTAGCTCGTCAGGGCCTCACAATGAAATGTAACAGAAAGGAATAGACAAGCCATTTGCCAGTTATTTCAATCAATTTGTTATTGAATGTAGTCAGAAAGGCCTGTAGTTTTACTTAACCTCGCCGTTCTACAAATAACAGGAATGTATGTATGCAGTGCGAAAAAGTAATCAATTGGCTACTGCATCGGCGTATGGGGTGTCGTGTGGTGCCGTGCCCCAATATAATTCCCGCTCGATTGAAGTTCCCGCCAACGTCTCCCAAACAAGAGCTGCCATACTATCATACGAAGTCTGCCATAATCTTATGGAAGTCATCAACAGATAGATATATGTATAGTAATTTCAGGCTACTTATGTACGATAGAGTATAAATGATCTGAGCATTTAAAGCTAACAAAAATATCTGTGCACTTGACGAAAATAGTCTTATAAAATTATATTTGTTACATTATTAAAATGCGTATTTTATTTTGCTGTAGTATCATAATGTTTGAAAGTGCACCTTCCGTTAACGGATACAAAGAAGACCTTTATCAAATGCTCAATTATTTTTGCTAGCAAGAACGCTCAAGCAATTTGGACGCTGACGCTGTGGTTTATGAATACTTCAAAGACAAGAAGTTTTTCTTTTATTAAAATATCACAGTGTATGTTTTAGCTTGGTTGAGGTTACAAAATAACCAAGTGTATGGCAAATAATAATCAATATGTGTCGTTTTTAAATAAAGATAACTAAATAAATATATATAATAGATATCTGTGTTTTCATAATTATTACAAACATCCGATCCATCTCACCTGATGGAAAGTGACGATGAGGACGACCATGTAACATGCACACCTAAATAATGCTAACTCACTCTCGCCTTGAAAAGGTCTGAGTTACAGTGTTCGGGGAATAAGTCTGCAGGCAGGGAATTCCACTCCCTAGCCGCTATTACGCTCAGGCCACACAGAGGCGGCCGCAGAAGTCTTCCGGGCGCGGGAATTTTGTAATGTACCAGCTTAGAATAATAACGCATAGAATGATAGTTTCATATCAAACGAACTGTCACAAGTGAGGCAAAAACCAAATTCATGTAGGCGTAAGCAACTTGTAACTACGCTCGTCGGCACGCACACAAATATACAAATAATGATGCCATGGAATAACATTTCCCTCAAAAGTGGGGAAATTGTATCTTGCTTAACTCAACATTAAGTTAAAGGTGCCTACAGATTTGCCCGACATTGTCGATCAGGTGCCTACAGATATGCTCGGTTTTGTCGATGAAAAACGAATATAGCACTTATTTGTAAATCCAAGATGGCGGACACGATTTTTCAAAATATGCTATATGGGTATCCTTTTCGAGGTATTTGGGGATGCTCATTACGAATATGGCACTCATTTC